CAACAATTCCTGGGCTCTGTTAGGGAATTGATGCGTGAAAACGCTCATATAGGTGGTGAAGGCTGTTGTCCACTTATCAATGTCCGTGATATTTGTTGTGTACTGAGTGGACTGCTTAACTTTAACAATAGAGTTTTCGACCGTTAGTCGATCGTCAACAATTCCTGGGCTCTGTTAGGGAATTGATGCGTGAAAACGCTCATATAGGTGGTGAAGGCTGTTGTCCACTTATCAATGTCCGTGATATTTGTTGTGGACTGAGTGGACTGCTTAACTTTAACAATAGAGTTTTCGACCGTTAGACCGATCGTCTACCGTATTGCATAAATTTTTTGGCAAAAGTTTTGACAGCTCACCCGACTGGATCTTCTTAACGTACGATGCCGGTAGGTCGTGGAAAGATTGTCCGTATGGGAGATGATTACTAGCGGGAAGACACTGCGAAGAGGAATGTGGCGCTTCGGGCTCGAACGTTTGGAACCTTGGCGTCGAGATTGGCGTGGTGTGGTTTATCAACATTGGGAAAAGCTCCGTGCCCGTGGTTTGTTGTGGCTCATTCGTAGGCGCTGACGAAGGCGCAGTTGCCATGGCTTGTACTGCAGCACGAGCGGCGTTTGTGGCGATATCGTTCACCGATTGTTCGACCGTCTTTGCGACGATTGATTGAATTTGGGCCAACTGAGCGTCGTTCAGCAGAGGGCTTTCGCTTGAGCTTTCGCGTGGCACAGATCTTCGCTCGACGAGTGGTGTTTGCTCGCTGTTGTTCGCAATATCAACAATTGTCGCAGCTTCTGTGGCGGTACTGTTCGACGACGACGTTGAAGCATGTTGTTGCAGTCTCGCGACCAGCGTATTTCGACGACCATGGTCAGATAAACCTTTGTCTAGACATTGTTGTCGAAGATCGTTTACCGATGGCTGATTTGCATTCTCCGCGCGTTGTTGTACAGCTATGCGTTGGCGTCGGGCGGGAGGCATTGCCTCGTGAGAGATATATTACAAATTTAAGCAATTTTTTCGCTGTGAAGTGTCCTTCACTTTGGCTCACCGGCGACACAATGAAACCTGTAGCCCAGGCAGGAAGCATAAGCAAACAAAACTGTAGGGCCTGATTGGTCTATTTTCCCGCGTGCATGGGAAGAAGTGTTTGACAGTGGTTCATTGTTATTTACCGAGTGCTTTGCACGTGAGTGGTCACGCGTTTTAAGACTGACCTTTGTGCCTAACCTGGTCTAATCAAAGGACTTTGCACAACTTTGGTTATATCCGAACGCTTGTTTCATTAACTTAAGTTTATAATGCCTATGGGCATGTATAAACTTGCTTTTTATAATATTAAGAACTCATTAAGAACTCACTGAGTTAGAACTTACTAAGTTATTCAGCTGATTATGCAGCGTATTATTAGTTAGATTATCCAGTATATTGCTATGTTAATAAAGTAAAAAACCCATAAAAAACAGGACGTTATTAGACTTGTATATAGTACTATATGTAGTCGGTTGAGTACGTGTCAAAATACAATTTTGAAACCGATATTTTGAGTTTATAACAGAATTCAGGTGATTTCATCAAATTATCTTCATGTGGGATATGATTAATGTATCCAAAATGTATGAGTTTCCTGCCAAATGCAGGAGACGTGGTAGGTCTGAACTTGCCTGACTTTGCAATGCTAAGATCCTCTCTCATGTGTTTGTTTCAATACAGTAAAGCAGTGGTGGATCCAGCCTGGATTTTATAGGTGGTTCAGGGCAAGCAGCTGAGCACAGCAAACCCGGAATTTGGCAGTTGCATGCCACCATGCAATTGTGTGACTTAGTGGCGTCTTAGTTACAATGTGCAGATAAGTCGATACTGTGATTATGTGTAGGGAAAATGGAATATTTTTCATATTATTTTAATATTTGATTGTATTTTCAATTTTTTATTATCATAATACCAAATACTTATTTGTGCACACCATCCCTCTCTACCCACCACTGTTTCAAAGACTGCATTTTTCCCAATCCTAGGGTCACATGAAGCTGTAAGGTGGCCAGCCCAGCAATGCATAGCTACTCTCTCATTGCGATGCATACTTTATTACCCAGAATTACCATCTAAGTCTAAACACATTACCAGAAATATGGAACTTTTTTTGACTGCATTTGGTCAGTGGCTAATCGCTTTATAATTGCATTCTGTAGGCAACATTCCAACTGCTTTAATTAAAAATTTGCATAGCTTGATCTGTCAGTGCCATAGTTAACTAACTTAACTTCGCCACTAGACTTTCACTTTCAGAACCATGAAAAGTGAAATTTCAAACAATTCAGGAAGCAGTTTGTCATGGAATACCTGCCGGGTTTTTTAGCTATATTAATTTTATTTATCCAATTAAAGACCAAGACTCTCCCATTTCAACCTTAAACGTTGACGGCTTTTTGGACGTCTTCATGAATAAGTATCTATAGATACCAAATATGTACATTATATGCGTACTATTATTACACATAATTTGTAAATAGTGTGTGAAAATTACATAATTATCCACATTCCTTCTCCATTGTACATAACATGCATTTGTATGTGACATGTTGATATACGTACGTTAGAGAGGATCTAGACTTGCTCCAAGTCTTTCTCGAATGGGTTTTGATAGGGTATATCCAGTTTATTATGAGATCAGTTTTGAACTTGAACAAAACCCATTCGAGAGAGACTTGAGGCAAGTCTAGAGAGGTTCAGATTTGACTTCCACTATCGCCACCATTACCTCTAACTAGCTTGGACTTGGTACACACCTGATTAGTTAATTGAATGTATCAAACGCATCTGAATGGTAGCGGTAGTGGAAGTCAAATTTGAACTTCACCAATATATACACGAGCACAGTACATCATCTGGGAACGTGTGAAAGTTACCAACCACGTGCTATTGCAACTGCAATTGGGAATGCGTGAAATTACAACTATAACAACTCACAACTGTTTAACTGTGTTTTTTGCTCATCGTTTTTTTTAAAGACTTTTTTCGGCCAAATGTCTTGCCAGCTAAATATTCTCTCGGTCAAACACTCGTCAGTGAAATGTTCTGTCGGCCTCTGTAATCCGCCCAGTAATAGTTCTTACATTAATACAAGTGTGTTGACATGCTATTGCTTACTTTCAGGTTGTCATAGACGTTTGTTGACAATTCTCCAGAATCTGTCTTCTCGAAGGATTTCAACGTGTTCTAGACAGTTGTCTTCTTCAAGTGATGATATTTCCAAGAAAAGTAATGGTAAATATTACTAATACAGTAATAATACACTCATAATACACTATGACAAAAATACGTCTACGTCTATATTAAATTACATAAAATTGTTTATTCTATGTATAATTGACTTCACTGTTTTAATTGGCCCCTGGGCCAATTGTTCAAGGGTGGATTAACACTAACCCGCATGGCTTAACTTTCTCTTTTGGTTTGTGTTTATTTCAAAACTGTTGAAAGTAAAAAAATTCTATTGGTCCAGACAGTATTTTGGAAAAATATTTTAAAGTTAACCCAGGATCAAGTTATCGAACAACTGCCCCAGAAAGATATTGTGAAAATCCCGCTGTGCAAATGATCCCTAGCTCATACTGAACAAGATGTTCCTCGATTAAATAAATAATAATAATGTTAATATCATATTTATACAGGTTAAAAAACTTGTTTCAGCAACTTAAAATGCTGGTGTCAATACCATAGTTTTGCCGTGGCATTCTGTAGCGCCCTGACCGACTCGTCACACTAATATGTCTAATATGCCATGAGTCCGCAGCGAAACTTCATACGAACGACTACAAAGACAAGGTTTTCGTTCAGGTTACTCTACGATACCACTCATAGTGTCGTGGACTTATCCCCGGGGCTTTGGTGGCGTCAGATCAAGCGCCTTTCACCTCTCAGATCGTGGGTTGGATTCTCGCTATGGACTATGAGTCGGTCAACCTCTGCCAAAAGTCGTGGGTTTTCTCCGGGTGGTTTCCTCCCACAGGGAAAGTTGACACTGGGGTTACGATAAACATAATTAAGGAAGCACAATGGACCTTAGAAATGGACCTTAGAAATGCTTACGTCACGTAATTTTCAAACAATTAATTATCGTAGTTTTGTTTGTGGAAACACCACGTAAATTTATTACTGCAAAGCTTTTATTATTATTATTATTATTATTATTATTAACATATTATTAGCACTGATGAAGATCCGGGCTTACGGATCGAAAGCTTTGCAGTAATAAATTTACGTGGTGTTTCCACAAACAAAACTATTATATTTTATCGCCATGCAAACATACAAAGAACTAATTAATTATCGACTCACGAATATCCCACAATGCACTGTGCATTCCCAAATCCAACGTATAAAAAATTGTGTGACGTAAGTACTTCTAAGGTCTATTGTCGTGAAGATAAATTGTCTACACAGGAAAAAACGCCAAGCCTGTAACAATGTTGAAAACAGACCCGAACAATATTTTGCTGCCCATATTGTTCCTGCATGTTGTTAACAATATTATTGTTCAGCATTGTTTCGCCAAACAATGACATTTCGTTTTCGACAACATTGTTACAGGCTAGGTGTTTTGCTGTGTAGGTCACGTAGGTAATATAGTATAAGTAAGCATAATACTTGATGTAATCAGTCACTGAAAAGCCCCAATGGGGAGTGAGCGGAATGTTTGTATGTATATATGTATTGCTTGCATTACTGCATATGATTATTTGTATAGTACTGTATTTATTTTCGTTGCTTTCAGAAACGCAGCCTACTAAAGTTGACTACAATGCTGCTCATGATGAGAATACGTATGTGACTGAAACAAGAGCCATCGATGATTACTTCCTTGATCACAGGTGATATTTAAGTGCATGTACTGTATTTACTGTTTATGCTGTAGATCGTTCACTTATGGAGACTTTCAGTGTTGTAGTTCCCAGATGTTAAGCCAGTTTGCCCCTGGTATTAATTATTTTAATCTCTGCGGTAAACTCAGCAACGACAGTCATCGGGGCGCAGACGCCGGTTGTATAAAACTCTTAAACTTTTTAACCACTATTTTGTAGTTCTATAGTAGTCAAACACGCAATTTTGACTGCTTAACCTCCTACTAACTGTAGTTAACTTTAACTACCTTTTTATACAACCAACCCCAGCTACTTTGTCAATAAATTTTTCACACGGTTAATGTAGAGTTGCACGAGCAACAAAATTGCTGCAACTTGCAACAAAATCGGATTTCAACGCATGTTAATTGAAAATGTTTACACATAAATTACAAATCACGAGGCAACATGTGTCGACATTTGCGATAACATGCGTTGAAATCAGATTTTGTTGCAAGTTGCAGCAATTTTGTTGCTCGTGTAACTCCAGCTTTAGTTGGAAAATATGTTAAATTGAGATTGGACATTTTGCCCAGCTTAATCGATCAGTCACATTCCCCGTCATAAAACAATTTGATCAGACAAAACGTTAACCGGACAATGTCCGATGACCGGCAGTAATTTGCAGGCCTGAATCTTTCTCTAATTTCCAGAGATCTTGAAGGTCTTCAGAAAATCACAGTCCGAAATGCATACAGTTCAGTTGTTGAACTTCCTACATATTGTTATTTGAAATCTCAAGTCAAGGAAAGGTATAATATAATAGTGTATTATATAGGATCATATTTGACTGGGTGGCGTGCGTGTTCTATAAAATCATCGGACGTTGCGGCTGAAACCCTCTCTCCTCCACTGCAGAGGCTTTTAAATGGTTAATTGTGAATAATTTCGTAATTGCGCTAGAAGGTAAAAAGGGGAAAGTAATTGCTAGAATTCGGTGCGTGGGTGCTGGAGAGAGGGGAAGGGAGCAATTACGAAATTCTTTCTAAATTAATCATTCAAAAGCCTCTGCGGAGGAGAGAGGCTGAAAGCAGAGACGTTAAGTGAAGACTTTGTCGTTACGGGGGGTGTAACGGTCAAATTACTGGATATTTTAAATTACGGTGTTTGAAACTTCTTTGGAAAGAAGATATTAACAGAATGGAATACGGGGATTAAATCTACAACGGGGTTCAGAGGAATGCTCCCCCGTGAATATTTAGACACTCAGAAATCCTGTCATCAAGTCACCTCTAAATTTACCTAGAATTACTTATAAGGAAATATTGGGTAGAGGGTTACACCCCTAATGCACACCGCCCCTAGCTGAAAGTGTTAAGCCCTAAAGGCCATGTTACACGGTGCAGTTTTTCTTGCAACTTGCAATGCAATTCTACTCTTGAGAGATGTAAAATTGCCAAATACGAGTCTTCATTACACTCCGTTGATGTTTTCTCAACATATCGAAAATTCTTCACTGATTTGACTAATTAAAATCACATGGTTGGAAGATTCAACATGCAAGTACAGTACATAATTCTTGGAATCTCAGGGAATCAAAGTTTGATTCGTTTTATAACATTTCTAACCAGTCTTGGTAGACTATAAAGTATCTTGCTTCATTAATATTCCAAAATGTGCGTTATACGCATGTTCAGTTAATTCAGGTCAACCTTTAAGGCCATGTTACACGGTGCAATTTTTCTTGCAACTTGCAATGCAATTCTACTCTTGAGAGATGTAAAATTGCCATGTTTTCTCAACATATTGAAAATTCTTCACTGATTTGACTAATTTTAATTAGTCAAATCAGTGAAGAATTTTCGCTTTGTTAGTTATGCTGGTTAGAAATGTTATAAAACGAATCAAACTTTGATTCCCTGAGATTCCAAGAATTATCTAGTGTACTTGCATGTTGAATCTTCCAACCATGTGATATAGAAACTTAGCATTGATTTGCCTAATATTATTGAGAGACCGTCGGAGCTATGTCGTCATTGTTTGTTAACTTTATAGAGCAATAGACAAACATGGCAGTATAGCGAATATTAAACAGAAACATCGTGAAAGAAGGAAGCAACTTGAAGCAGATGAAACCTACAGAAGAGGTAGGGTGTGTTTCTATGATATATATCACTGTCTTGCCTCGTACCCAGGCCCTTTGCTTTGCGTTTACCCACTAAATTAACTATTGCATTGGCATTTAACCAAATTGCCGCACGAAATACAGAAGAATTGTTCATGTTTGTCAACGTTTATCCAGAAGAAATAAGTATATACTGGCATACTGCGAAACCTGTAACCACCACAGCACGTTTAACTTCATTGAGAAAAATGGTATATATTAACCATTTTTGAACTAGATGAGAAGATGATTGAAGCCCGCAAACCAAGCGCTTTGCTTTCAACCCCCTCACTCAATAGCTGAGCATGCGTGAACAAACTCAACCATAAGAGAGCGCTTGTTATCACAAGATACAGCGACCAAGTTTACTTTCTTAGTGTATTTCACAAAATGATTAATATAATTTCATTTCTGTTGACAGTTTTGTTCATTGACTCGTCATCGTGATTGTTTTTAGATTTCAGTGGTTTGATTGGTCATTTGAAGAAAACGATAAAAGATCAAACAAAAATTGATGCAGATAAAAAGGTAGATAAGATAAGATAACTTTAATTATGCCTCTCTGGGCAACTCATGCATCTACGAAAATTACAGTTCATCAAATTTGATGAAATTTGCTTTCAATTTCCTAACATGTGTAATCCTGTAAAAAATATGTGCAACTTTGTAAGGCGATACTATAGAATTTGTTCAAAAGTTGCAGTTTTTTTGCTAAACCTCCAGCCACGCAATTCTTGGGTTTCATATGACGTCACAGAAGTGGCGGGGGTCAACTCAAAACACAGTTATCAGAGTGAGTCGATTGTTCGTTTTATGTATTAGCCTTGTGTTTGGTGACAAATACATGGAATTTCGTATCATTTTCTCACTCCAATACAGCATAAGCATCAGTACATTTGAGATGGCTCCCCGTCAGATTCACTGCATAATGCCGTAGTGAAACCCAAGAATACCAGAACTAAATTTGAAGGAGTTGAACGAAAGTGTTATTCTGCCAACGTGAAAGAACAGCACTTTTGGAGTTGAATCAACTGCTTGAAATTTACAGTATATCGGTATTTCCCGTAATCAAGCTCTGTCCATAGAGGTGGACAAAATTAATAGATATGTTTTAATGCCAGGTGTACGGTGGTCATACAGAAAGAGTGAACTTTCTTAAAGGTTCTGCAAGAGTTGTAACCTATGCTATTATCAGGTATAGTAATTCTTTTAATTCGATAACAAGTGTTTTTACCAACACAAATGAAACTTGCTGGATTACGCTGGATTACATCAATGAGAAATTGCTGTGCTGAGTGGTTATATTACTACCTGAAATAAACAAGCAGAAACTCGACGTAGCGACGAAGGGCCTTCGCTCGCGACAACTAGCGACGAAGGGCCTTCGCTCGAAACTTCGAGTTTCTGCTTGTTTATTTCAGGTAGTAATATAACCACTCAGCACAGCAATTTCACATTCATTTGGTACTACCCACACTGGTCCAGACAGTTTTATTACATCGATGACCATATGCAGTGATATTATGTAGAATGGTCTGTGCCAGTGTAGGTAGTGATAATAACGCCAGAAAGCTGCGGATTGAAAGGAATTCAACGACCTGGAAAATACAAGTAAAACGTTTCGAGCGAACACCCTTCTACAGGCAGCGAAAATTAGGGAGGCAAAGGAAATACCCTAAAAACCGCCTGCCACGCAGGCTACCCTTCCTAGGGAAGTTAGATAAGTGCTGTTATGAGGTGGTCTTTGCAATTTATTCATGCGATTTTATCTTTCTCTTTTTAGCAATTTTACAGTGATGGTGTTCAAATTTGGAGCGTATTTGCACACAGGTTCAGCCAGTATGTTATCTGAGGCTGTCCATTCATTAGCTGATTTTGCAAACCAGGTAAGTTAGGAGAGCAAAAACTTTGAGCGAATGCGAAAATTGACTGTCTGTGATGTATAAGGCCGGTTACAGTAGAGTCTGTATACGCAACTTTGCCAATTTTTACTATCATGACACTGTTCAATAGCTAGTATCTAATGGTAGCTAGTATGGTAGCTATAATATGGTAGCTAGTATGGTAGCTAGTATGGTAGCTATACTGTAGTATGGTAGCTAGTATGGTAGCTATACTGTAGTATGGTCGCTATAGTATATACAGTGTGGTACCTAGTATTTTAGCGATTTATTGTTGTACCAGCCAATGATAGCTATCGTGGCGATCAGAAAACTAAAAACTTATCATTGAAAACTTGCTCGTCTGTAACCAGCTTAATGTGTCATTCCAGGAAACATCCACACCTCCCCCACGGAGGAAATTGAAAATTAAACCCTCCCCCCATTGGACCTCCTTATACATATTCCTATTATTGGAAGTGGATTTTTCCGCCCTCCAGACGGCAGAAATTTACTCTGTAATTAAGGAGAGGCTGGATCTTTTATGGAATGGTCCAATATATTATATACAGTATAATAACATTGTAATGTAATGGAAATACCTTATTCTGGATGTAAATATAAAACTTATATATCTACAACGTTTAAGAACGTTCACAATTCATAGTTTGACACATTGCCTAGCCTGCGTGCGGGTGATCCTGCCTACGCAGGCTACATAGTGCCATGTTGGCGCGTCTTTCACTTTTTTTCTTCCATTACATTATGACGTTATCTATGCATCTCTAACAAACACTGGTGTCTGAAAGGTGTTTTCCTCTTTCTCACGGTATTTGCGTGACTGCAATCGTAGGTTGAATCAGTTAATTTTACTAAGCATGAAATTCTTAAAGTTACATCTTATTTTTTAGTGTTTATTGGCATTTGGTATTTTACAGTCTATTAAAGCTCCTTCTGCTGATCATCCGTAAGTGAATTTTCCCTTTTACTTGCTGACATGTGAAACCTGATATGTTACGTAGAACTGACTTTAGTAACACAAAACCGAGCCTGCATAGGTCGCGGTTTTAAGTAGCTGAGGTTGATGGACTGGTCTAGAGCCTGCATACTGTAGGTCGCGGTTTTAAGGAGTTGAGGTTGATGGACTGGTCTAGAGCCTGCATACTGTAGGTCGCGGTTTTAAGGAGTTGTGGTTGATGCACTGGTCTAGAGCCTACATAGGTCGTGGTTTTAAGGAGTTGAGGTTGATGGACTGGTCTAGAGCCTGCATACTGTAGGTCGCGGTTTTAAGGAGTTGAGGTTGATGGACTGGTCTAGAGCCTGCATACTGTAGGTCGCGGTTTTAAGGAGCTGAGGTTGATGGACTGGTCTAGAGCCTGCATACTGTAGGTCGCGGTTTTAAGGAGTTGAGGTTGATGGACTGGTCTAGAGCCTGCATAGGTCGCGGTTTTAAGGAGTTGAGGTTGATGGACTGGTCTAGAGCCTGCATACTGTAGGTCGCGGTTTTAAGAAGTTGAGGGACTGGTCCTTCGTCTATTGGAGTAACCGTGAATATGTGTTAGCTCGAAAAAGATTTTGACAATTCGAGTGAAGGCTCACAAAAGCCTTCGTTTGATACCTAGCCTGCGTAGCTGGTGCTTAAAATGATTATGACATCCCTGCTTGTTGTGTACGTCATTTTTGGATATTGAAAGTTACCGGAATTGTTTATGAATCTTTTTTGTCGACCAGTATGAACATAGCTACATTTCCGATGATATTTCTTTTCCTAACAATGAATATCTCTCACTGTAGATATGGTTGGTCTCGTGCTCGTTATGTTTATTCTTTAATCAGTGGTGTTGGAATATTTTTCCTTGGTTCTGGTGTTTCAGTATATCATGGTATAAGCGATTTATTTAGTCCTCCTGTATTGGCGTCTTTACCTTTGGTAAGTTATTGACATTGTGTCATCACGCCATTACCCAGGCGCTATAGAATATAAGCCCGCTTTTCACAAGGCGAATTTGTTCGCGCAAAGCGACTTTTTCTTTGACGGCGTCGCTTATCACGTCAGAAAAAGCGACGCCGACAGAGGAAAAAGTCGCTTCGCGCAAACAAATTTGACTAGTGGAAAACCAGGGCGCTTTGGAAAACGGTCTTACTACAGGATAGCCACATCCAACCTCGCAAGCCAGGTTCATTACCTCTACACACGATCTTTGCTGTAGCGTTTCGTTCAAAGGAAAACCGTTTCAAATTTTCAGGTGGGGGCTGCGAGCAGGCTAGTGTGGACTCAGCCTGGCTTGGTTGCGCCGCATACATTTCTTTCTCTTGGTTGCGCCGCACAAATACATTTCTCTCTGATCTTCAGCCCAATCGCATCCCTATCTTCAAATCCTGGCGAATGAAAACATAAGGGCCTGACTCAGTCAAGTTACACTCTGCGCGAAGACATAGCAAACTACAGGAAATGAACCGAAGGGTTTGCGTTCCAGTAAACACGAGACTTACATGAATATTGAATATGTTTTATGAATGAATATGTTTAACATGAATATATTTAACATGAATGCCTTAACTTGAATATGTTTTGTGAATATTTTCCTAAACGAAAGTGATGAGTAGAGAGGTTAAGATACCCAGGGTATCGCCATTTTGTTTACCAAATATTGCTGACGTCAGCGTGTTTACCCGTAAATTCTACCTGTTTCCCCTCGGTAAATCATGATCTACACGTATCAGACAAACCGGTACGGGTTTTTTCTGTTTAGTATTTGTAGGCCGTTTAAATAGTTAAATAAATCAATGCACATTTGCTCGTCAAGACGTCAAATTTTCCCAAATCCATGGTTAACGGTGAACCCCAACAACAACAGTTACTATTCTCCTATCGGTTTTTGTTGCCCGGAATATCTTGGATTTCTTAAGTTAAAAGTCGTACCCCGCGGTACGGATACGGGTACGTGTACGTTAATCCGTACCCAGGGTATCTCAACCTCTCTATAGTATTTGTAACTTTTTAGAAAATTTAATTTATTCTTTAGCCTTATTGTGTTTCATTGTAAATAGTCAACCAATCACCGAACCATTTCCCAGGGCTTCGTAATGACCCTCCCGTTCTGAATTCCAGAAAGAGTATAACTACCCAACAGCCCCTCCGCGTGTTGCCAGCCATAGCAATATTTCATGCAGAGTATTGCAACTCGAGTCCAAGTCACATGATTCAAGTCTACAACTCTGGCTTCATGTAAACCTATTATATAGCGCCTGGGGACAAGGTAGCCTTCACAGTTTGTTCTGTATCTTTGCTTCATGTCATCTTACGCAAATATACTGCACTGCCACCTTGACATAAATATCTGCACTGTAAACATTTATAATAATGTTTGTTTTTATTTAGGCAATTTCTGTCTTGTTTGGTTCTCTTCTAGCCGAGGGAGGTATACAACCTGGTTATTACAACACTCGCTGCATGTTTATGTTCAAACCTTTGATTAATAATTCATGAGGAAAATACAAAAGAAATCACTGCCGTGTCGGTGGTTTTATTTTGATAAAAAATCATGTTCATTTATTAAATAAACTTTAGCTTTGATTTCCTCGGCTATAGACATGCGCTCGAGTGTTTTATATCTGGTAGAGCACTCCTGCTCGTGTTTTAAATAGTACTTAAATTGGGTTTGTAGTCACATGATATTTCACTGGAAATCATGGAGCCACATTTTCCATTTATAACAATCCCAATGTTTGGACGTTCACTTATTTCTTTAGTACATACAGCGACTATCACATCATTTGTTGAGTGTACATGCACACTTTAATTTGCTGTTTCGAATATATTAATTCGAGTGGTGTTAATACTTCATACTGCTTATAATTATTATCTAGTAAATAACTCATGAAATGATGCTTGTGATGTTACTCTTGAGTGTATATCCACACCGGACAAGCTTGAAAAATATGCCTGCATGGCCACGGTGGCATATTTTTCAAGCTTGTCCAGTGTGGATATACACTCAGAGTAACATCACAAGCATCATATTCACCTGTCGAGTGAGTACATTACACCAACACAGAAAAAAAACTCATGAAATATTAGGTCAGAAGGAAATGTTAGGTCATGTATTGAACATGAACTTTCTTTGCTGCTCTTTTATCTAGCCCGCACTTCAATACAGTCCACTATACTTATCAATTATTATCTATTATGTTATAAATAATTCATGCTTCATTAAATAGATTAATAGATTGCATGCATTTTATAAAATTCATTCAAAAACATTGAAATAACATTTGATGTTAATTTAGCGACGTTTGTGATGGCTGTGAACCAAGTTTCGAAGAGTGCGAGAGAAACTGGTGTCTCGTTTACAGATTATGGTGAGTTCCTGACATCAAGCAACTCATTATCGTTCTCAAAGATGCTTACCTCTAATTTCTGCAGCACTTTCTGTATTCTAACTATATCTTATAATGCATGTGTAGTATTTCTTAACGACATGTGTATACCTTTGATGTAGTGGTACGAGGTTTCCTGGTGTATTTCTTGACGACATGTGTATACCTTTGATGTAGTGGTGCGAGGTCTCCTGGTGTATTTATTAACGACGTGTGTATACCTTTGATGGAGTGGTGCGAGCTACCCTGGTGTATTTCTTGACGACATGTGTATACCTTTGATGTAGTGGTGCGAGGTACCCTGGTGTATTTATTAACGACGTGTGTATACCTTTGATGGAGTGGTGCGAGGTACCCTGGTGTATTTCTTAACGACATGTGTATACCTTTGATGGAGTGGTGCGAGGTACCCTGGTGTATTTCTTAACGACATGTGTATACCTTTGATGTAGTGGTGCGAGGTCCCCTGGTGTATTTCTTAACGACATGTTTATACTTTTGATGTAGTGGTGCAAGGTCCCCTGGTGTATTTCTTAACGACATGTGTATACCTTTGATGGAGTGGTGCGAGGTACCCTGGTGTATTTCTTAACGACATGTTTATACCTTTGATGGAGTGGTGCGAGGTACCCTGGTGTATTTCTTAACGACATGTGTATACCTTTGATGTAGTGGTACGAGGTACCCTGGTGTATTTCTTAACGACATGTGTATGCCTTTGATGTAGTGGTACGAGGTCTCCTGGTGTATTTCTTAACGACATGTGTATACCTTTGATGTAGTGGTACGAGGTACCCTGGTGTATTTCTTAACGACATGTGTATGCCTTTGATGTAGTGGTACGATATACCCTGGTGTATTTCTTAACGACATGTGTATACCTTTGATGTAGTGGTACGAGGTACCCTGGTGTATTTCTTAACGACATGTGTATACCTTTGATGTAGTGGTGCGAGGTACCCTGGTGTATTTCTTAACGACATGTGTATACCTTTGATGTAGTGGTGTGAGGTCTCCTGGTGTATTTCTTAACGACAGTTTAT